TATGCATTCGATACTGACCAACAATAATTTTCATCAAACTGATTACGATGAGTACAACACAACACTATCCGAAATTAAAGATACACTATTACAAAAGCTTTCCTTATATAGCAAAAGACTTAAAAGATACAAACAATCACATCTCAGAAAAATTCATAACACTAAATTTTTAAACAACGAAAAACTATTCTATCAACATTTAACTAATTCAAGCAAAACTCAATTATCCGGTGAACTACCAAGTTCACAAGATGTAACAACATTTTGGTCAAAACTTTGGTCTCAAGAATTTGAATTTAACCAATCTGCCAAATGGATTCCTCATATATATAATAAACTATCCACAGTTACACCAATGAATGATCATCAGATAACACTTGCCGAATTAATAAATACCATCAATAAGACACACAACTGGAAATCACCAGGACCAGACAAAATCCATAATTTTTGGATAAAAAAATTAAATTGTGTACATATTCATTTACTACATCACTTAAATCAGTTCCTTCTTGACCCATCCTCTTTTCCAACATTCTTATGTCATGGTGTAACATACTTAAAACCTAAAGATAACGACACAAAAAATCCATCAAAATACAGACCTATCACATGTTTCTATAAAATGACATGACAATCTATAAAATATTAACCTCATGCATTACACAAAAAATATATCAACACTGTTTTAACTCTGACATCATTAATGAAGAACAGAAAGGATGTATTAAAGGATCCTTTGGCTGCAAAGAGCAATTAATCATAGATTCCATCATCTGTGAACAAGCTAGAAAAGAAAACCGAAACATATATACTGCTTTTATTGATTATAAGAAAGCTTACGATTCTGTTCCTCATTCCTGGCTATGCAAAATTCTGGAATTATACAAGATTGATACTAAAATCTGCACTTTTCTCAAATGTTCCATGGAATTTTGGAAGACCACCCTCCAAATAACCTTAAATGAACAAACAATTCAGTCAGACCCAATAATGATCCGAAGAGGAATTTTTCAAGGCGATTCTCTTAGCCCGTTATGGTTCTGCTTAGCAATAAATCCCCTCTCCGATATCCTGAACAGCTGCAATTATGGGTTCAATATAAGAATTAACAAACAAAGAGAAAACAGAATAAGTCACTTGCTGTATATGGATGACATAAAAATATATGCAAGTACACAAAATCAGTTAACAAACCTATTAAATCTGACTGAACAATTTTCCGGTGATATTGGTATGTCCTTTGGTATTGAGAAATGTAAGACCCAAGCAATCAGAAAAGGCGTGTTTCACCAAGTACCACATATAACACAGAATAAGGAAATAATTGAAGCCCAAGAACGAAACGATACATACAAATATCTGGGTTTCTGTCAATCCTCCCACATCAATCATACCAAAACGAAAACACAGTTGAAAGATCAATATGTAGCGAGATTAAAATTAATATTGAAGACACAGTTAAATGGAAAAAATTTAATGAAAGCAGTAAATACATTCTGCGTTCCACTGCTAACATATTCTTTTGGAGTCATTAAATGGTCCAAAACTGATCTTGAAAATTTAAACATCGCAACAAGGAAAATCTTCACACAGTATAGAAGGCATCACCCAAAATCGTCGATTGAAAGATTCTCATTACCAAGACAGAATGGAGGAAGGGGTTTCCAGAACTTAGAAAACTTATATCAGAGACAAATTTCAGATTTGAAGAAGTATTTCTTGAAACGAGCGGAAAGAAATGAAATGTTTCACACCATCACAAGAGCAGATTTGAACCACACACCCTTAAATCTGTCGAACACCGAAGAAATCCACACCCTCCACACAATAGATAAAATAATAAGTGGGCTAAAACAAAAACAACTACATGGAAAATTCTACAAAGACTTAGAAGAAAATCATGTCAATAAGAAGATGTCATTGATTTGGTTAAAAAAATCAAGTTTGTATGCCGAAACAGAAGGATTTGTGTTTGCTATTCAAGACCAAGTAATCAATACCAAGAATTATAGAAAATACATCATCAAAGATCCGAACATAAAAAACGACTGCTGTCGCCTATGCAAAGCAAAACCTGAAACGATCCAGCACATAATCTCTTCTTGCAGCATCCTAGCACAAACTGATTACAAAGCTAGACACGACAACGCAGCCAAAATCATTCACAAAGAATTAGCAACACTTATGAACTTAATCGAAGATACGACACCCTATTACACTTATATTCCGTCTCCATTCCTTGAAAATAACAAATACAAATTATACTGGGATCGCACAATACTTACAGACTTAAACATTACAGCTAACAGACCAGACATCATACTTATCAAAAAACACACGAACGAAGCCATTCTTATTGACATTGCTATTCCTAACACAAACAACATTATTCAAACATACGACACCAAGATTTCAAAATATCTACAATTATCGATAGAAATGAAATCCATGTTGAATCTTAAAAAAATTTCAATTCTACCCCTAGTTATCTCTAATGTAGGTGTAATTCCAAATAGCTTAGTTGAGAATTTAAAGTCTTTGCATTTGAATGATTCAATAATTGTCAAAATTCAAAAAGCTGTTTTGTTAGGAACATGTCATATTGTTCGTAAGTTTCTTGAACAGTCTGATCATGTCAGTCAGATTAGATTAGCACCAGTAGGTCAGAGTAGTGTAGGTCACTTTTCATGTGATGCGCGGATAAATGGTCGGTAGTTACGCTGGACTTTTGGGGATGGGGTGAGATTAGAGAATAATAGCAGACTAATTTGTATGCTGTAATTCTAGAATCTCGAAAGTTGTTGTGTTAATCTAATCAATTCATATCATTACTTGGTCTTAGCACCCGTAATGATAGAAGTCTTGCCTGAATGCCGGTCATTTCCGGGTCAGTGGTGGGTCTTAATAATAATAATAGAAATCAGAAATGCCTTGTCTAAATTTACATAAATTCTGAAACCAGAGTACTGTTATCAGTGTCATACTGTACATAGCAAAACTAATGCCTCTCAATAAAAATGTATGGCGACATCAATTATTTTCCCGTGAGTGCATACATATTTTGTATCTGTTCCACTCATTTCTTTGTATTTCAAACAAATACAATTGAAAACAAAGGGGAAAACGCTTTACTGCACCGTCTGGAAAGATAAGCTCTTATGTGAATGGAGCGCTGCAAATCAAAACCCTCGTGTTAGTGTGCTACTAACTTTCATACAATGAAATTCCATCCAAAGAAAATGAACCAAATCGTCGCCGTTGCACTACTTATTGTCCGTTTATTTTCGTTCTTCCTTCTCAAGATCCCAAACGGTAAATATTTCGTTATTATGTTGAGACTTATAATTATCGAGACATGTTTGGATTCAAAATTATAGTACACTGTTACTAAGTAGGTATTTCCTAGTGCGGAGGTTTAGAGTGGTTTTGCAAGGAAACTGAATCCGCTCAAACGATATCGTATTTTTATTATTACATAAGTATACAAGTAAATTATAAACTGATTTTCGACATTTTTCACAGTATTTGGTTTACGCGCTTTTAACGCAACAGATTGCCGATTATTTTAGCTTCCGTTCAGGAAGCAGTGCCATGGGTAAAATATGTACCTCAATAACGTTTAAATTACGTTAATCCACAGCGTGAATAATGAATTGTTAATGGTAAACAGGGGGCTGTCTCCTGTATTAACATAGCTTCGATAATCTCATAATCTGGATGTTACAGATCGTCTGTCCTTCCGACTAATAACGAAATAAGCGGATTGAGTTATAATAAACACAAAGGCGGGAATGCTATTTTTGCTACATTTATTATATTTTTATAATTAAATTTTCTTGCCACTTAAGCATAATTAAAATTGTACCCTTTTTTTTCAAAATCAAGTTTAATTTTCGAAAACTTAATCAATTCATAATTCCCAAAAATGTTTTTTCATTGTGATTTATTATTGTTCATTCCATCAAAAAAGCTTTTACGAAATGCGCGTTTAATCTAACCCACATGTTGACCAATTTCGAGTGATTTTGTTATATATATATATATATATATATATATATATGATGTAGATTTTTTTGACCAAATCTTTGCTTTCTGTTGTTTTGAAATTATATCGATTGATCCAAAAATGACGGAAAAGCGCGACCTTGTTAAGAACGCTGTGAGGAACTCAAAAGAAATGGTAAAAAAATTGCAAACATGTTAACAACTTGATTTGGACTACTGCGGTTGAGTTTACGTTTTTTTTTTTTTTCCAAAACCAGCTCTTGAATACTCTAACAAAATTTGGAATCCCTCCTATAAATCACATATCGATATGATTTATTTAAACTGAACCTTAACAAAATCAATTATATATTATAATAATCGAGTTCGTCAACCGACTCTCTACTTTTACGTTTTGTCGACCTTTCATGAACCCTAAAGTACGAAGAAATAGGTCTCCCGTTTTCGTCTATCTGTCCGTCCGTCCGTCCGCAGATGTTTTAAAGTTATGATAAGCATGATCATTTTTTAATCAAAATATATTTGCTTATCCTCCCAAAAAATTGATGACCTCATCTCAAAATTTTGCCGAATAAATCCTGTGTAAAATGGGCAAAATATGATGAGTCTATAATTGTGATTTATTATTACATTCATATATTTTAGATTTGCTTATGAACGTATTTCGTGATCATCAGTCGTGGTAAGTGATAATAAGTAATTATTCTGCCATCATCATCTGCTACCTATAATAAGTAACAACAGGTCAGTCAATCATCATGATGATGAATGATGACGGAATATTTCCTTATTACTATTTATTATAACGGATTGTGACGGATATTTATGACGACAGAATATTTACTTATTATTATTATTAAATTTATTTTAACCATAATAAGTGAGAGACGAAATATTTGTGATAACATTGTTTATTTTCATATAAATACGTTTTTCCAAAATTATACTAGTGTACATTACAAAGATTTTGCGATTTAATATAAATCAGTTAATCTGTTATTTTCATCTTTTTTCGATTATTTCATCTTGTCGAAAAAAAATTGGTGGACGTCAGTTTTACAATATGTCAACAGACACTATAGTCAGAAAAGATAGTATACCTATTTCCACTCCTATGCACAACATTTGTACATGATAAGCATCTTTCAGTTCTTCAGGTTTAACCAAACTTAAAGAAAAAAAAATCAGTCTATGTTGTATGGTTTTATATGGATTTTACCTTGCGATGTTATAAGTAGAACGACTGACTATGTATCCACCAGAGGTAGCTCCTGCTATCATAATAAGGATATACTGATAATCATGAGGTAACAGTACCGGGAGATTGTGTCGAGGTTGAAGATTACACAACATTAACAGTGGAAATATCACTACCGCTCTGACAAAAGCGACGAATACCCATCCGAAGCCGGGTAAATTCTAAAATGGTGGCACTAAAATAATTTGTACAATTTGTTACCAACGTACCTTAGGAGCAAATCGAAACGACAGAGTCCGTCCAAGTAAATCACAGAGAGCATAAAGCAAGAAAGTAATCGTAGGAACAAAATATTTATCTGAAGCGAAAAAACTTTTGAAAATGTTTCAACAATTTGAAAACCTTACCATTCCAAGGACCATTTCCTTCTCCTTCCGAAACCACCAAAGTAGTGGGTGACATGTTTGTCGTAAACATGAACAGACCCATCATAGCAATACAAGACCACACCTTTTTAAACAGGCGAACTCCCTCTCTGAAACCAACGCGCTTTTCTTCTTGGTCCGTTGTGTAGTTCTTCATGTAGTACAAATAAAACTGATTACGACCTGTTGTAATTGCAACGAAAGTTAAGGTGAAACCGACTACAAAAGCACCCAAAAGGAAGTACACTAGAGCACTATCCTCAACTGAAAGTCCTGTTGCTAGTGAAAGAAGCTGAAGAAGGGCGGTGAAAGTCGTGGATATTCCACACCCGGCGAGGTAAGGGGCTAAATAGTGATGAGGGAAATTGGATATTGCTGTGTATATGGTGATGGTGAAGACTGAATTCAGGGCTAAAATATAATGTCGTTACTAAAGTTATAAAGATTTTTAACGAACGTCGTACAATTTATGGTGAAGGTGATTGCCAACACCATCGCAAAGAACCCTTCTTGCCCTAAAAGTTGTATCCAAGAGCAACAGTAACACTCGTAACTTAATTTATTCACTTACAAGAATCAGTGTCGATCTTAACGAAGGCTGTTAGAATGATAAAGAGAAGTACGATAATAGCCAAGATTCCAATAAATCTCACTCTAACTTTAATAAATCTACCGAAAAGTAATCCAATGATCAGAAATGCGACTTGAGACACTTGGAGTGTTATCATTATCGCAGCATTGAACTGGGCTTGCAGATCCGTTCTAAATTCGGAGTCAGTCTCGTTGATGGTTGTATTTCGAAATTTGTACATCCAAAACTAAAGAAAAATATCATTTTATTAATCATGTCAATCAACGTACTTACTCCATTGGCGTTATTGAAGAAAGTCCATGGTAAAATTTGAACTAAACCCAGAAGGAAAAATAGCACGTAAATAATGTAGAATTTATCCTCGGGAGGGTCTAAATTTGCTTTTTCATTTTTTTCGGCATCAGTGTTGACGTTTAGTTTCACTTTTGGTTTTTTCTGTAGTTCTCGGGTCATGTTTGGAGGGCAGTTTTCGAGATTGCCTCCTCTCGAACACTATATGCCGTTATGATAGCAACCGCTTTTATTGATCAGGTGAGTGGAATTATCTTCAGATCTACACTAATTGTTACTAAGATTGGAATGGAGATCTCTGATAACTATGTACTCAACACAGCATCATTTCTGCTGTGTTTATTTCTTAGTTGAAGTAAGTGTAGAACTTTGGGTAACTTTTGCATAAAATGATGCTTTAATTGTTGATATTACTTTGTTCATTTGATTATTGCCTAAATGAAACCATTCATTAGTTATTTGGGTCTGGAGTCATGCAAATTTTCGCATAATTTAATCTACGTCTGCTACAATCTGCCACATATGTATTTTATTATAGGTACTACAAGCCCCAGCCTCCGTGTATCATAACAATTTTCATGATAATATAGATTTCGTCAGGGGCTTCCAACAGCAATTCTCTACCTTAGATTTTTTGCATGAGGTACAATATTTTTCTTTAGAAGTGCCACTAATTTCTTGAATAGTGATATATCAGTACCATTATTTAAGTTTATGGTACTTTTAAACATAGAATATTCTGCTCAAAGGCTTCCAGGAGACTTGAGTCTTAAGCTTCTCTGAACAAAATAAGGCAGCAAAATTTTTTCAGTTAATACTACTTTCTTCTTGCACATCTATTTTTAGAAGTTTTCATGAACTTTATCGTAGCTTTTCTTAAATTTTCTTGGAATTAAAGACCAACAATCCATCTCATATGTTTCCTCTATTTCTAGATCAATGCCATTAGATAAGCATTATATATCCATTCTTTCAGGTTTTACCAATTTTATATTCATGCAATCTTACGATGAAACCGATTATCACAAAATTATTAAAAATTGAATTTGTCCTGCGTCTAGATTTTTCAAACTTTTTTTGTTATAATGCACCTATCAACATACTAAAGTATAAAATATCAGTATGATCTAAGTGAAGATAAACAATTTATTATTCTAAAGAACTCTTTCATGAAAGCTTTTCTACATGACCCGAATTTATGGAGCTCGATCTTTCATGCCACGTTGGGATTTCTGCATCTCATTGTTTACAGGATGCAATTTTTTTGTAGCACAACGCAGCAGAATTTACCTTTTATTTGTCAGGCAACTTTCAAGTCCTTTTTTTTGTATTTTGCGCCTTTCTTGTTAACAAAAAGCAACGACTTTAAATGGATCGAACAGTGTAAAATTTTTCTTTAAGAATGGTGCCATCATATTCATATTTTTTTAAACACAACTGAAACAAGTTTGTATTTGTCATATCATAAATTACGGTTGAAAATAAAATATTATTTTTCATACTTGCTGATTTATACTAGATTTGTTTTGTGAGAAAAATAAATCTGGGTAACAATAAGTTAATTTTACATACAGGAAACGTTTACATATTATTAGAGAGTGTTATGGAAAGGTAGGTATAAGAAAATTTACAGTTCTTCGCGAAGCCGAAAATGTCCGACAAACCTATTTTGTACATTGCCTTTCAAAAAAATTGCAGCAGAAAGTAGCAGTGAAAATACGTTCACCAGTTACTCTTCGGGGCCCACTGCCCCTACGACGTGCTCTGAGCCCCTCATTTACCAAGCCCTGCATATTCGCTGCATATTTGTAAAATTGTCGAAGCATAAGGCTGATTTTGGCAGATGACATGTCTTCTAATAAAATAAAGGGTGGGTGGGCGGGGCTAGTACGTTCCAAGATAATACTGATTTTGGCAGATGACATACCCTCTAAAAAAATAAAGGGTGGGTGGGCGGGGCTAGTACTTGTCAAGTTAAGACTGATATTGCCAAATAACATACCCTCTAGAGTTCGCTGACGGATTCGATTACAATAAAAATGTATTTATGGTCTACACATAAAGTAAATAAAAAAAGTAATACCGATAATTGTAGTTGGACAGATCTGAATGTGCTCTCTCTATTCATATTCCAAGGGTATATTTTTCAAAAATCTAGAGATTTATTTATTATTTAATACTATAACTGAACCCAAACATCACTAATTAAGACAATAAGAGATTTATTATTTCAACAAGGTCTAGGCAACTTGGCTGAGGTTCTTTCTTACTCACTGACTTACACTTAATTACTAAAATTGGAAAGATCTGAAAGTGCTCGCTGCGCTCGTTTTCCAAGGGTGTATTTTTCAAAAATCAAGACATTTATTATTTGCTATAATTGAACCCAAGCAATTGGTCTAGGACACTTTTTTAAATATTGATGAGGCTAAACTTAAAAAAAAACAACGTTTATAATGCGAGTGCAGCGAGCAAGTTCATGTTTCGTTATGAAAAAACAAAGTCTAAGAACATCTGAACATCTGTGTGATTTTTCTGGTATTTTTCTAAATAAATACAGTATAACTTCTATAATCCGAACATCCAGTAATTCGAACAAAATTGAAAGTTGATATCTTTTTAAACCGAACAAAAACTCTGCAATCCGAACTGAACTTGAAAACACGCACCGACTTGCATAAATGAGGCAAGATCTTCTTTCTATTGGTGTTGTATTGAATTTTTTGAAGTTTTTAAAAACTGTGATATTTCAATGTACTGAATTAATTATCTAATTCTGGAAAAAAGGTTAAAGTTATCGAAGAAATGAGGCTGGAATTGACTTCTGTCCTCCGAAATTTACAAGAAAAAGTATTTAGTTAAATTTCGAAAATCGTTGAAAATGGGTCGAAATTTGCTAGTACTTGCCAAATAACATAGCCTCTAAGAAAATAAAAGGCGGGTAGGCTAGGCCTGTATTTCTTAAAAAAAAAGTACTAGCCCCGCCCACCCACCCTTCATTTTCTTTGAAGAGTGGGTCATCTGCCAAAATCAGTCTTATCTTAACAAGTACTAGTTTTTGTAAGGAAATAAAAAGTAGTTTTGATCAGCGATTTACCATGTTTACCGTAACTTTAAAACATCTGAAAATTTTGTTCGAATAAATTTGTTCTTTTAGTTAAAAAATCGAAAAATGACAAATCGTGAAAAGGAAAAATTTTTACTTGAGAACTTGAAAAATTAAAAATCAAAAGATTCAAAAATTGTGAAGTTAAAAGTTGAAAAATCAAAAGATTGGAATTAAAAACTGCAAAATTGTCAAACAAATTATCAAATGAAATATTGAAAAGTTGAAAAATCTAAAAACTAAAAAAAACTGAAAACTGGAACTTCGAATCCGATTTTATAAGAATTATTTTTTCAATTTTTCGATATTTCAGTTTTTGATTTTCCGATTATACAATTGTACAATTTTCCGATTTCTCATTTGTCCGATTTTTCAATTTGTCATTTTTTGATTTTTAATTTTTTTAATTTTTAGCAAGTGCTAACCCAACCCACCCAGCCTTTATTTTCTTAGCAGAATAAGTCATCTGCCAAAATCAGTCTTATCTTGGCAAGTACTAGCCCCCCGCCCACCCTCCCTTATTTTCTTAGAGAATATGTCATTTGCCAAAATCAGTCTTATCTTGACAAGTACTCTGAAAAAATTCAGAGATATAAGAATATCCGACGCGCTGATTCCAAAAATATAGCATGTTTATGGTAACGGAGCAATATATTCCGAAAATTCGGTGTGAAATTCAATTTTTTTTTTTAATTTTTAAAAATTGCGAGATTTCAATGGACGATTCTGGAAAAACTGTTTAAGTTATCGAAGAAATGGAGCCAGAAGTGACGAGAATGGCTCGAAATTTGCGTAAGGGAGGTAATACGAATACATAATGGGAATTTCATTTTTGAAAAAAACGTAAAAACTTGACGAGCATGATGAGTTCTCGGGGACTAAAAAGTTGATCTTTCCTAGAAGCGAGGAGCAGTATACACGATTGTTCAAAAGTTTCCATGAAAACAAAATGCCGCATGATATTCTACGGGTTTTGAGTGATCACTTCAACTGAAATCTTTTAAGTAACAAGGCCTGATCAATGCCACGTGGGGGATATGTCCCATCAACAATATAGCTTCAAAAATTCAGAAATTTCCTCTGAACAGATTCAGCATGAGTAATATGTATTTCGTAAATCGGAGACCATACGCACGCACAATATTCCAGCCTGGAACGAACTGGAGAATAGTATAGAGCTGATAAAGACCGAATGTTCGTGAACTCTTTGCAATTTCTATAGATGAATCCATAGGTTTTGAATGCTTTGGCAACGGTATCCTGTATAGGGTTTACAAAGCTAAGTTTCATATCGTACATGACACCGAGATCTTTACAGATATCTGTTCTTTTAAGCTTCGAAGTTCCCATAGCATATGTGAAGACGATAGGTTTTAATTTTCGTGTGAAGGACATGACAATCCACTTTAGGATATTAAGAGATCATTAATAAATATTAAAAATAGTAACGGACCCAAATTAGATCCTTGCGGAACACCAGATGTTGGTACCGATGATTTCGACAGATGGCTTTGATAGCGCACACACTGCTAACGACCAATCAAATAAGAAGAAAATAATTGTACCATAGAGTTAGAAAATCCCATCAAGCGCAATTTTTTGAGTAAAATAAAGTGATCAATTTGAACAAAGGCCTTCTGAAGGGCGCAATTGACTACTTAACAGAGGTATATATTCGTTTATATAAAATGGTTTCTAATACTTTCGCGAAGTTACACAGAAGAGATATTGGACGATAGTTTTGAATCAACCTAACGTCTGCCTTTTTAAATATGAGACAAGTAATGGATTTTTTCCAAATAGAAGGGAAAGATGATGTTTTAAGGATAAGATTGAATATGTGAAATAGCGGTTTAACTAATACTGAGCCAGTATTTTTCAGGAAAAAGATAGGGATGCCGTCACTTCCTGCGGTAAATGAATTTTTACAATGATTTAAGATAACCAGAATTTCTTCTTTAGAAATATGATCTATACCTATTGAGAAATTGACATTACAATCAACAGACAAAAAATTTCAAGCGATTTTTGTCAAAACTCTGACAGGTGTTCTTAATTATTATAAAATTATACATGACACCCATGAATGTGTATTTTGGGTTACATTTCGAATTTTTCCGGACTAAGCATACAAAGGTTTATTCTTATTTAGTGAAATATGACCTTAAAAGTAATGATTAATTTAACACTACATTGTATCCGGGAGACCAATAAAAACACGATCAAAGGCAGCTATGGATTTTTTAAACTTTGTCTTTGATTGTTGCATTTTCAACTCAAACTTTCAAATTGACGGTAATCTGATAAGACAAATCTTCAAAAATCCATGGCCATCTTTGATCGTGTTTTAAGTACCAAGTAAGTACCATAATGAACATTTAAAATGCTTGTTGACACATTTTTACGTTTCTGTAAAGTTCTGAGCTTCTTGTATCACGCAAGCTAACTTTTCTATTTTCCTTGGATGGAATGAATCTTCAATATAGTTTTCAGCTATTTCGACTCCAGTATGTCTTTTCAAAAATGACCATTATTTACATTTACCGCTTCTGCATTCCATAAACAGCATTTGTGTTCAAATTTTTAGATAGCTGTGTACCTTCGGAACGACTTCAACTTTATTGATAACAGTAAACACGCTTTTCTGATTTATTTTAGTGTAAGGAATAGTATATAGTCAATAGACATGGGCCAGTATCTTGCACATCATACCATTTAAATCCTGTTGACGACAACCAGCTGTCTCAGTCATAGAAACAACCTGAAATGTAAAACAAACACTCCGCATATGTATTTATAGTATATTTATGTATGTATGTATAATTTTCTCATTACCTTTATCAAGATATTGCTCAGAAGATGCTTCCTGCATGGATCGGTTTACTTCATCTCTAGTGGGCGTGCGTTAGCAACCAACACATTATTTATGTAAAATTGTTCCTACTGTGGAAAAACGTGAAATATCCAGATTTTTGTAATCCTAAATTCAGTAGATCCAACACGTATTGTAAGCTATAAATCGTCAAAATGTTTGTAGACAAAAATGAGCCATGCAATTTTTTCTCCACGTTGGACAAACTGAAATCGTTGGGTGCACGAATTAGATTTAAAAAGTAATCCAATCAAAATTAAAAAATTTTACACGCAGCTAGTCAATTTTGGTTTTTAGGTGGTTGTAACTTTTTATTAAATTCCAAAAACTGTGATAGAAATTATCACAAAACAAAGGACGGGACGCTTTTTCAAAATTAGATGGTTAATCAACTTATTCCTGCTTTGACTAAGTTGAACAAAAATGTATGGTCGTTATGGACAACGCACCATATCATTCAGTTGGTTTTCATTTTATGAAAACCAACAACCGTGGTGTGTGATACAAGTGAACTTATTACTGTTATCGTAATTAGTACTGTTTATTCCTTAATATTTAAAGTAATGTTAGTGAAACTTGAGTTTTCTTTTCTCGTGTAAAAAACTGGTTTTTCATTGTAAGTTTTTATTTGCTTGCTAATTGTCGGGTCCTTTTTTAACCTCTTAACATCTGTTTTGATCTTACACATCATAACCTCTCCGTTGCTTTCTTGTCTGTTTCTTTAATAAGTCCCCACGAAAAGCACCGTAGGGGTGAAGTGTGTGTCCCCGTCTTTTAATCTTTTAATCCAAAATTTAATTTTCAAAAATTATTCTTTTTGTATACATAATGAATTCTGTTTGTTGTAAATGTAAGAGTTTGGTGGTTAATTCTACAACTTGTACTAAATGTAAGAATGTATTTCATTTGAGCTGTTTGCGTACCTTCAAAAATTATTCGTTAATTGCTGATGATGTAAATTCAATTAACTCCTGTCCTCGATGTGATAAATCCAGTAAAATTGACCTTGAAAATACGACGATCACACTCCTGCGTGAACAAAACGAGTTTCTTAGAGCGGAACTTGATGAATTGAAGAAGTCCTTCAAGGAGATTCTGTTAAACATATTTTAGATGAAGTTGAGGAACGCGTATCCATGTTATTTGAGAATTTACGTGATGATCTAAAATCATCTATTACGACGTCTGTTAGACAAGAATTTGATGGTTTTAAGCCTGTGGTAGATACTATTTTTAAAACCAACTTAGGGTCAATTTCTACTAACCAAACACCTGCTTGTACACCCTCTGAAACTCATAAACCGTATCTGCCCAAGACCCAACTATTTAATCGACGTAAAATTATTTTACTGGCTGATGGTAAGGGACGTAATTGTGTCAAATTACTCAACGAATATCTATCACACAATGAATACGACGTTTCTTCCATAATCAAGCCCAATGCATCTTTTGAAAAGATAGTTGCCGATAACATTTCGACGGTTCACTGTCAAGACTTCGTTATGATATTTGGCGGAGATGTAGAAGTATCGAGTGGCAAAATACTGAATCATGATATCTTCAACGACTTAGCTTCTGACAAATTTAAAAATACTAAGATTATTCTTATTGGTTATCCATTTTTTCGCCAGATCGTCCCGTCTTAAACAAATTTGCATATGAGATTAATTGTCAATTACATAAAATTGCAATATCCAATACGCATAATAATATATTTTTCCTTGATGCAAATAAATTTATATTTAAACAGTTTCAATCTCATATTTCCATCAATGACGCTACTAAGAGAACTATAATATTTTCTCTTGTTAATTACTTGTCTCGAGGCAATGTTGATGCCCTAAATACTGCACCTATTTCTCTGATAAAATCCCAACATTATACTTCAGCTCCTAGAAATGAAATATTTACCACTCCAATCAATAATTCAACTTCTATGCATGGTAAACCTCAGTTTTTTCGAGTCGGTTCGTCTGTGTTCCCAAATTTTAAATAAAAATAACTTAGTTTAACGTCTAACGGTATCCAATTCTCTAATTCAAAACACTTCACTTAATAGTACTTTCACCACTAGGACTCTGAGCTTTTTATATCAGAATGTTAGAGGCTTAAACTCCAAATTTGACTCATTTTCTAACAACTTATTATCTTGTGTTGACGAGGTCGACGTTTTAATTCTTACTGAAACATGGTTGCATGAGGACGTTGTAAATTCAGAACTATTGCATCTTTCGCTGTGATCGAAAGTATAAACATCTGGGTGCTGCCAGTGGTGGCGGAGTTTTGATTGCCACCAATAACAAGTTTTCGTGTTGTACAATTTGTACAGTTGACGTTTCCAATATTACCAACGCTATTCCATCGATCGACTTTGTGGGAATTGAAATCTTTCTCTCCAATTACTTGCATTTTTTTATCTTTACTGTTTATATCCCTCCATCTGTATCTATTACTGATTATGTGGATTTCTTTGATCTCGTTAGCAGTCTTGATCAAATCCATAACAATCTTGTTCTCTTCGTAGGTGATTTTAATACTCCTAAGTTGGATCCGAATTAAACAATAACTTCAGTCACTGCCTTAATAACTTTCTATCATTTTGCGGCTTCTGCCAATATAATCATATTCTGAATAACTACGACAGTTTGCTTGACCTTATATTTTCTACGTTTCCCTGCACCGTTTAGAGATCTGATTTTTTCCTGGTACCAGAAGATCCACTTCATCCTACATTATTATTCCATATTGATTTGGTGCCTTGCAAGAAAAGTAGCAATTTCTGTTTTAACTCTGATGACGCTGGTTTTAATTTTAGAAAAGCTGATTTTCCTTGCCTTTATGACTTATTATTAAATTATGACTGGTCCAATATATACAATTTTAGCAATGTCGATGACGCCTGTGAACACATGTACACTGTCTTATATTCTCTATTTGATTTGTGCGTGCCCAAAGTTGGCTCTTCCAAGAAAACACGACGCATATACCCTCCTTGGTTCCACAAAGAAATTATAAAATGTCTTCGACTCAAATCGGTCATGCGTAGAAAATATGTGAAGACTCATAAACTGTACTTTCATGACCAGTTTCGGAAACTTAGATCTGATGCTAAGAAACTCATCACTAACGCATATATCGAAAACCTATTGCAGATGGAAAAGAACATTACCCTGGATCCAAAAAAGTTTTGGTCCTTTGTCCGCTCAAAGAGAGATGTTACGCGTATTCTCGGTACAATGTTTTACAACGATGAATGCAACTCTGATCCTAATATTATTGTTAACTCCTTTGCTGATTACTTCGAAAGTGTTTTATTGACCCTTCACCTCTCACAGACGATGTTATTTTCACGAAGGTTAACAACACAGTATCGGTTACATATATATCTGAAGATGAAATTATTGGAGAATTGAAGCGTATGAAGAACTCTATGACTTCTGGACCTGACAGCATCCCAAGTTTTTTATTAAAAGATTGTGCCCATGTTCTCTCTAAACCGCTTTCAGATATCTTTAATATTATGTTGAAGTCATCTACATTTCCTAATATCTGGAAATTGGCACAAATCTGTCCGGTACTAAAGAAAGGGGATCCCTCCCAAGTCACAAACTATAGGCCCATATCCATCTTATGCAATTTTTCCAAAGTATTTGAGAGCATCTTGTATGCTCGTATTTATACTTCTGTTAAAAATTATATTTCTGAATATCAGCATGGGTTTATGTAAGGAAAATCCACCATTACTAATCTAGCATGTTTCTCTCAGTTCGCTTCTAATGCGCTAGATAGAAATAGTCAAGTTGATGTTATATATACGGATTTTCAGAAGGCCTTCGATCAAACTGATCACTACGTCCTGCTTAAGAAACTTGAAACCTTTGCTTTCTCTAACTCTCTTCTTGCTCTTCTGAAATCTTATCTTCTCAATAGGCGCCAATAAGTTGCACATCGTAAATTTAAATCTATAGTTTTTGTCTCAACATCAGGTGTCCCCCAAGGATCCAACCTTGGACCCCTTTTATTTCTAATGTACATCAATGATATTACTGACGCGCTGGAACCCTGTAATTAATTGCTCTTCGCTGACGATTTAAAGATCTTCATGGAAATCGTGTCAATTGCTGACTGTGTCACATTACAAAATTGTCTCAATGTTCTATCCAAGTGGTGTAGTTTTTAGTCTTCGCCTAAATTTATCTAAATGCAGTATTGTATCCTTTACAAAAAAACTCAATTACAATATATACCCATATTCAATTGAAGAAACAGTATTACACCGCAATTTCAATTTCAAAGATCTAGGTATCCTGTTTGATGCTCAACTTATGTTTAAAGAGCATATATTTAATGCTATCAATAAGGCATTCAAAATCTACGGTTTTATATATAGAAACTGTCGAAATTTTACCAATTTGACCATTTTGAATACCCTGTTTTGCTCATTGGTGCGACCTCACCTTGAATATGGTGCGTTGATCTGGTACCCCATCTATAGAACATATAATATGTCCATTGAAAAAGTGCAACGACGTTTTTTAAAATTTCTCGCCTTCAGAATGGACGGTGCTTATCCTGTACGTGGCATCGATTACAATATTCTCTTGAATAGATTTCAATTTTCTTCTCTAGAAACTCGAAGAATGTTAACAGTCTTGCGTTTCCTATATAAGTTAGCTCATGGTAAAATTGATTGCCCCTTTATCTTGGGTTCCCTTCGGTTTAATGTTTCTCGTCCTGGACAGAGTTACGCTCCGTTGTTCAAGCTCTCTTACAGCCGTACCAATGTAGCAGTCAAAGCTCCAGTAGCAGTATTGATGTCCACATACAACGTTCTTTGTCAAGATTGTGATGTACACCATGACTCAATAAATTCGATTTTAAATCATGCTCGTGCCGCTTTAAGTGTTGTGGAATCATGAAACGTTCTGTTGTCTCTATTATGTATACCCTGTCATTTTATTGTGCTATTGTATTTTATATTGTACACTTTGATCTCTGTAACTGGGTTTTTACCTATAGAATGATCAATAAAGATTAAAGATTAAAGATTAAAGTACAGTTGGACAAGCCACCAACATTTTCTAGTAAAATGAGTTAAATGCAAAAATGGCTGCTTAATCATAATATTCAATTTGAACGAACATTTTCTAAAAAACAATTATGGGTATTAATTAAACATTAAATACACAAAAGCTTTGTTTGGTAGATGAGACGTTGAGAGAGAATCATCATGAAATTCTTAGACCATCAATCAATCAATCAAAATTATACCTTCCTATTTTAAGAAAATCATTGATGACGTCATAACTTTTACAAATTTGACGTCAAAAGATGAGGAGTAAACAAATTCTGCGCTTTTTATGAATTTTGTGCATTACTTTATCATAACCCTGTATAATAATATTTTATTCTCACTTCATTTCATAAAAAGTAGTAAGCCCACTTTTATTACATCTGTAATCATGAGCTGTTGCAAATCAAGTTCTTGTTTATGCACCGCTGATTTTCTTACGATGAAGTTCCACTTAAAGAAGAGTCAGAAATCCGTAGCTGTATTACAGCCTATTGCTTCTAATTAGATATCTTTTAAAGAACGAGTCAAGAGACAAAAGCTTATCTTGTCTGTTATAACATAACTTATAACAAATTACGCAGAGGTTTCTGTCTTTTTGTGCTTTGCAGAAAATTGGAAACATGACTCCACTCCACTTCACTTATCAATCACTCATCATGTCCACACAGAAAAATACAATACTCGTTGCTGTGTCAATAGTATGATTTATGACAATAATGCAATGAAGTTATACCACCGAACCGAGCGGTATTTATTTATGATTTTACGATACTGTGGATCGTATTTAGATATGGAACACACTGCTATTGCCCCATTCATCAAACAAACCGGTGCTATGGGCAAAATATACCTATATTAACTCAATACGTGTAAATTACAATTATTGGTAGTGTAGCCCTTGAAATTTCATCAACTAATAGGTAGCATAGGTCCAATCCTCTCCAATATTTCTAAACACCGAAATCAGATAACCGAAGCAGCCGTAAAACGAGTATTCTTGATAACATTGTTTTATTTCATTTAAATACATTTTTCTAAAATCATAGTTATGTACTTCTTAGAGTACGAGTGTTGTGATTTATTATAAATCAATTAAGATGTTATCTTCATCTTACTTTTTTCGACTTTTCCTTGTTGACGAAAAAAAAACATCGGGGAACGTCAGTGTTACAATAAATCGACAGACACGATCGTTAGGAAAGATAGTATACCTGTTTCCACTCCTATAAGCAGCATCTGTACATGATAGGCATCTTTTAGTTCTTCAGGTTTAACCAAACTAAAAAAAAAATCAGTCGATATTGTCAGGCTATATATATGTATGCATAATACCTTGCAGTGTTGTATGTAGACCGACTGACTATATACCCACCAGAAATAGCCCCCGATATCACAACAAGAATGTATTGATAATCATGAGGTAACACTACCGGCAAATGATGTCGGGGTTGAGCATTACACAACATGAATAGTGGAATTATTACCGCCATTCTAACAAAAGCGATTAGTACCCATACAGTCCCAGGCAAATTCTAAAATAATAACCAAGAATCAACCCGAAATATTTGCAACAAATTTTTACGCGCAAAAACCTACCTTAGGAGCAAATCTAAAAGCTAGAGTCCGTCCAACTAAATCACATACAGCATAAAGCAGAAAAGTTATTATAGGAACAAAATATTTATCTGAAACCAGATTTTTTAAAAATCCTAATACATCTCTTGAACACCTTACCATTCCAAAGACCATTTCCCTCTCCTTCCGAAGCCACCAAAGTAGTAGGTGACATGTTGGTCGTAATCATGAATAGACCCATCATAGCAACAGGAGACCACACCTTTTTAAACAGGCGAATTCCTTCTTTGAAACCAACGTGCTTTTCTTCTTGGTTTTTTGTATAATTGTTCATGTGGTGCAGATAAAACTGATTGCGACTTGTTGTGATTACGACGAATATTAAGGTGAAAGCTATTACAAGAACACCCAAAATGAAGTACACTGAAGCGCTGTTTTGGACTGAAAGACCTGTTGCTAATGAGAGAATCTGAAGAAGTGCTGTGAAGATGGTGGATATTCCACCCCCAGCGAGATACGGAGCTAAATAATGATGAGGGAAATTGGATATTGCTGTATATAGCGTGATGGTGAAGACTGAATTCATGGCTAAAATATAATTTTAGTAGCAAAGTAGTTACGATTTTTTAAAAATGACATACAGTTGATGCCAAACGTGATTATCATCACCATTGCAAAGAATCCTTCTTGCCCTAAAAGTTGTATTGTAACAGTCGTAAGTTAATTTCAGTCACTTACAAGAATCAGTGTCAATCTTCACGAATGCTGTTAGAGCAACAAAAAGAAATAGGATAATGGACAGGATTCCGATAAATCTGACTCGAACGGAAATAAATCTGCCATAAAGTAATCCAATAATCAGAAATGCCACTTGTGAAACTTGAAGTGTTATCATGATCGACGCGTTAAACTCGGCTTGCAAAGTTGTTCTAAATTTAGAATCAGTATCATTGGTGGTTGTATTTCTAAATTTGTACATCCAGTACTGAAAACATAAAATCGTATTATACATTATGTGAGCCGAAGTACTTACTCCATTGGCAGTATTGAAGAAACTCCATGGCAAAAGGTGAACCAAACCCATAAGGAAAAATAGCGTGTAAACTATGTAAAATTTGTCTTCGGGGGCGTCCGTTTCTTCGTTTTTTTCGGGATGTATGTTGAGGGTTAGGCTCACTTTTGATTTCTCTTTGATTTCGTTAGCCATGTTTTCGGGATTGCCTTCTCTCGAATACTGTAAGTCCGACCACTATCAGATGCTATTAATTGAGGTAATTGTTATTGAGATTGAAGTGTCTGATCTCTGATAACTGCACACTTTACGGAGGATCATTTCTTGCGTATCAGTTGGAGTAATTATTAAATTTTCAGAATTGTTCACAAAATGATGACTTATGTTGTGTACTCGAGCCAGAAGGGTTTATTATCAATTTACGTCGGTTTCCATGAAAATTTTGAAAAACAATGAATCAGTTGGAGCATATTTAAAAAAGCCAATTGAGCAGTTCGCCGTTAAAACCTTTGAACTAGTGTTTTTTGTCTAAAATAACCAAACATTTTTTAAGTGTTTACCCTACTTTTTCGGAAAATTTGTTATTGTTTTTCCTGATTTTGTTTGCTGCAACTCTTTATGGTTTTCACAAGAAATGTAATGTTGTACCATAAAGTCGTCTTGACAAGGAAATATGTAGTATGATTATATTGTTAACTAGCTGACCCCGTGAACTTCGTTTCACCTAAAATTTAATTTTGAATCTGCAAAACCGAATGCTTTGAAATCTTGCACGTGTTTTAAACATATGATAAGCATAATAAATTTTTATTCAAAATATATATACTTATCCCCTCCAAAAAATTGATGACGTCAACCCAAAATTTTGGCAAACGAATCCTATCTAAAAGATCCAAAATAGGATGAGACTATACTTGTGATTTCCCATTCCATATGTTTTAGTTTTGCTTATAGGGGGTGCCTCAAAAAAATTAATCACTGAGTCAATTTATTGTATTGATTGAATCAAGAATTGCAAAACTGGATTTTGAAATATTGCAGACGTCTTGAAATTACTGTTTGACGTGGTAGATTTTTAATCAAAATATATCTGTTTATCAAGCCCAAAAACTTCATGACGACATCTCAAGATTTTGCCGAATAAATCCTACCTAAAATGTGCAAAATATCATCAGTAAATTTTCGTAATTTATCATTACATTCATATTTTTTAGATTTGCTTTTACAGTGACTCAAAAAAATGTATGGATCAGTCAATTTATTTTAAAGAATAACTCAAGAGTTGCAGAAATGAATACTTTGAGATCTTGCAGACGTTTTAAAGTTATTGTAAGCATGGTAATTGTTAACAATATTTATTTATTCCCCCCAAAAACTTGATGGAACGGCTCACTCGATTTTCGCAGATAATTTTGGGAATACAATACAGTTATTTTTAGTATTACACTGCACCAATCCAAGGTGGTATACGTGTTGATCGCAAATGTTGATTAGGTCATCACAAAATTGTGTGAAGAAAAGACTCAACTCAAAAATGCTGAATATGTTTCATTATACTTATGGTGCGAAGGAAGTTCTGTTGAAACAACGTTCGATCAATTTTTTGACAATGCAACTCTGTAGATGCTCATACTCGAAATACGAAGTATCTACACGAATATCAAATCCAAATGTTTCTAGTTTTTCTAGATGATGCTAATACTTCAATAGGTACCAGTTGATGCTCAAGTAGCATCTCGATACAACAAAAAAGGAAAACAGTGACAGTGTTCAACCATCAAGGCAAAAATCGAATCACCAAAACATAAGTTAGTATGGGGTAGACAGACATCTTGAGATGGGAATCTCTATGGCCAGTGTTAGAAAAAACGCACTGCACAATTTATGCATGAATAAAAGTTAATTACCTGAAAAGTTTTCGATACTCCCGCTCCTAATGTGTTTTTCAAACTGAATGCACTTTTTGACGACGTTCCACGTTCATGAAAGTATCCATGTTTAGTCAAAATTCACTCTTACAACGATCCTACTCGTTTTCTAAGCTGCTTTACAGACAGCTCAGTCATTTGCCACGCTGATGCTCATTTTTAGATTAAATGCTCACAAAACGCGTAGGTAGATGTTCAATTTGTGTCCGGGGAGATACAATGTTTCCAAGTAGGTACTCAGTACATAGAGTAGATGCTCAGGTATATAAGAGTAATAATGAAGTAGGTACTTCGTACTTCGAATATGAGTATCTATTCAGTTTTATTCATACCACCCAATGTCTCGCTTCAATGTTTGATTATGTTGATTATGAGCACAACGCTGATCAACTTCCATATCCGAATTACCCATGAAATAAATCATTGCGGATTGACTTCGTGTCGTCTTCTCGGTACTGTAATGAACTTCATAAAACGACACAGAATTATTTTCACAGTCAATCAAATCTGTAAATTTTGTCTTGAGAATTTTAAAATATTGAAAATTTTAAATTAAATCCTCGAATAACAGTAAAGATTGAGGTTTTGTCGAAACCAACAATGTGAACATAGGTAAATAGAATGGCAGTTCAAAATTAATAAGAAACTTCCGCAATGCGTACCTAAATTCACTTTAACGAACACTTTTCTTAAAATAAACGACGTTTTTTGTTACGGAAAAACAAACAACGACTTGAAATGCAATAATACTTTTCACAATCGCACGGAAGAAATAGTTTTGTACGACACGTCAGTCAGGCGACAGGTCCGTCAGGAACGCCAACTATTAAAATTCATTCGAAGTGGCGATTCCCATGCAAAATTTTTAAAATTTTTTTATCTTTTACCCGTCTCATTTTTTATAAATTTTCTTACATATAAACCTTGTCCCGATGATAAGGTACACGTAAAAAATTCAATTCGGTGCAGCCGTTCTGAAGTTATGAGCGTACATACATTTCGGCGATTCATTTTTATTAATATAGATGCATTATTATATATTTTAGAACAAATTTCATTACCATAAAAAAGGTTATTATTAATATTATTATTATAAGCTACAATGTCCAACGGGCAAGAAACCCATTTACGGGACAAGGTTGAACATGAAATTATTTTGCTCTAAATGGGATGTTCAAATCGTCTTTTAATGTCAACTATTGTGCAGTTGAATATGTCCAACTGATTTTCGATGTAGGTGTAGTTCTTCAGCATTTGAAAAAGTGGTGAAGCAAGTCCAATATCAGTCCGTGAAGCAGGTAGATAAAATGTGTTCTTAATACGCGCGTTAGGTCTATTAATATTAAACCTGATGTTAAACAGAATTACCGGACACTCTTGTAGCCCATGGATTACTTTAAATAAAAAGATTATAGAGTGAACAATACGTCTTGATGCTAATGAGGATAAATTAAATCGATCAAGAAGCATTTCTTGAGGATATCCTCTTGGAGGATAAGTACCATCCAACATGAAAGCTGCAGATTTCAGAAACCTTCGTTGAATACGCTCCAACATAGATATATAAACATTGTATAAGGGAGACCAAACAAGAGAATTATATTCAAGATGAGACCTGACACACGCAATGTACAAACTTTTTAATGTCTCTACATCATCAAACTCACGACCATTACGTAAAATAAAACCTAGGGACTTGAAGGCAGTTTGTGTTATGTTTCCAATATGCATAGCAAATGACATTTTTGGATCAAAAGTAATACCTAGATCTCGTATGGTGTCCGGTCGAGTTAGTACAATATCACCCATGATATAGTCAAACAAAATCGGTTTTGTCTTCTTTGTAAATGTCATCACAAAACATTTAAGTTTGTTGATTAAGAGGTTATTTCTGCTGCACCAATCAAAAACCTTGTCTATGTTGTTTTGCAAACGTATGGAATCACTTGCAGAGTTGATAATAGAATAGATCTTTAGATCATCGGCAAACAATAGCGAGTGCACATCCACTACATCAACAATGTCGTTAATAAAAATATTAAAGGGAAGCGGCCCCAACACTGATCCCTGAGGTACGCCAGTTTCCTGTAAGAATTGCTTAGATTTGAACCCATTCAACTGAACATACATAGAACGGTCTTTTAAATAACATTTTATTAAAGAAATTAGTTCATCTGAAAATCCAAAACATTCCAATTTCATTATTAGTAGATTATGATCAATCTTATCGAACGCCTTTGAAAAATCGCTGTAGATGACATCGACCTGATGTTGGTCATCTACAGCAGTGCATAAAAACTGTGTTATCGAAGTCAAATTTGTTTCAGTTGAGCGACCTTTTATAAACCCATGTTGATTAGGGGATAGTATTTGTGACACATGTCGATGTAACAAACCATGCACGACTCTCTCAAGAATCTTAGCAAAGTTGCAGATGATTGCTATTGGCCTGTAATTTTCGACCTTGACTTTATTATCTTTTTTGTGTACAGGACAAATTTTTGACAATTTCCACTGGGAGGGAAATGTACTAGTTGGTATAATGAGGTTGAATAACGTTGTTAAAGGTTTCACAAAAACATTAGCACAATCTTTTACAACAAACGCAGGTATTTGATCTGGGCCACTTGTCATGTTATCTTTCAATTTTTTAATAGCTTTGTACACAACATCATCCGTAACAGATTTAACCATTAGAATATTTTTATTAAGACTTGCATTTGTCTTATCACTAATAGTTGAGTTGTTATTCACGAATGACTGCCCAAAGTGATCCGCAAAGGCGTCAACAATTTCCTCAGGTGTCGATAGATTTTTACTTTTAAAAGTCATACTTGATGGAATAAAATGCGATGCTTTTTTTGAATTGATGAATGACCAGAAACATTTGGGCTCGTATTTTAAGCGGCTATTTGTTAGTTGTATGTACGACTTGTATGCCTCATGAATTCTAGATTTTAGTGTGGTTCTTATAGATTTAAAAGCATAATAATTAACAAGCGACTGTGTTTTACAATATTTTTTGTAAGCGGTTTTTTCATGTTTCAATTGTTTAATTATATCTGAGTTGAACCATATCGGATATTTCCTGGCGGCATGTTTTTTCTTGGGAACAGATTGTTGAAAAATGTCATTTAATGTGGTGTAAAAGTGTAAAACTGCTTCATCTATATTGCTGTAGTTGTTAAGAAAAGACCAGTCGGTGTGGAGCAATAGTTCATAGAGTAAATGGAAATTACACTTTCTAAAATTATACTCAGAGTCAGAAGAAACTGTACTCAGAAATTTGTTTATTATTTTTGGCAACGATATTTGGATATCTAAGGCAGGATGATTTAGATCCTCGAGCAAAAATGGTTGATCCGATTTGGTTACTGCACTTGAGACATTCGTACTCATTAGCACAAGATCCAAAACTCGATTATTTATATTAAGTATACCGTTATGCTGGTTAAGGTCATAGTATCCTAAAAAATTATGAAGGTAATCAGATGAAGATAATGGTGAGTGCTGTCCTATATCGGGTATATTAAAATCGCCAAATATAATTAAGTCAGATCCGTATAAATAATATAAAGACATTAGATAATCAAAGAATAAACAATAATTTTCACTAGTACATTGAGGTGGAATGTAGATGACTAGAACAAAAAAAGTACGGAATTTCCAAGTAATCTTCACAGTAAGAAGATCAATAAAAGGTAAAGCTTGAAGAATATCAATAGTATCACAGATAGGTTTGTCACATATAGAAGCTTTGATGGATTGGCTCACAGCTAGTAGAACACCTCTACCCCTAGAAACATGACACAACTTATGATTGCGGTCTTTCCTGAAAACCTGATACATGGACAAATCCAGTATTTCAGAGTCTAATAAACCATCATGCAACCATGTTTCCGTAATTGCGATTAAATGAAGATGTGTTGCTTCAGTAGAAGACAGGTAGAATTTCCGTGTTTTAGTACAAAGTCCACGTACATTTTGGTAGTAATAAAATAGAGATGACTGTGACTGACATGATGAAATCGATGTGGAAAATGAATTGTCCATACCAGGTAGAGGCAACTCCTGTAATTGCTATTCGGTACCTACTATACGCTGTTTAAATTTTTGCAAGTGATTATGATAAACTGCACACTTATTTGCATCCCACGCTGGTGGTCAGATTTAATATCGGGATTTTTTCTTTTAAGTGATTCACAATTACTACACTTAAATGTGTCAGCATTACAGTCTTTCAGTCGGTGAGCTCCTGCACATTTTGGACAAGTAGGCCCACTTTCTTCACACTGATGGGACAAGTGGTTAAAGCCAGAACAATTAAAACAACGTCGCACCTCAATTGCATCCCAAATCCGACAGTAATCGTAACCAATTAACACCTTACCAGCCTGCAGAATATTTTTGTAAGAATAGAGATCAACCTCAAAGATTGCTTGTTTCAATTTATCGTGATTTCGCAGAGGTTTAGTTTTTTTCAGTTTGCAGATGTAAGAAGTATTAAATAATGATTTATTTCCATATAAAATATAATTAACAATAGAGTCGTCTGGGATATCATTATCTATACCTGAAATTCTTATACGGGGGTTAAGTACGGGCAATTGTTTTAGGTTATATGCGTTCAACTTTTCTGTTACTAAACTTTGAATTTTCTCCGTGTCACCGCTTTTGTTGCAACTGATAATCACACTGCCATTGCGCCCTGATTTTATATTAGAAATTTCAAGATTAGTTTTAATTGGATCGATTTCATTTAGAAGATCCTTTTTGGTGGCAGATACAGATTGTTTTGCATTTTTTGGCTGCAATATAATTGTTGACTTGTTTTTATTTGTAACTTCGGCGTAAGATGGTGTTGAATTAGGTACAGCAACAGGTAATTGACACACATTTCTCAACTGACTCTTTTAACATATCAAGTTTAGACTGACCTTCAATTACCAGACAATTATCACATATGAAACGGAAATTATTATATTTATTTAAAATGTTTAACTCAGTGTCATCCAGTTTTAGACATTTTGAATGAAATTTTTTTCCGCAGGTAAAACATTTTTGGCATTTATCAAAATTTTTTAAAGTGCTAGTACAGATACTGCATGCCGGCATTTTGTCCGCCTAAAAACTTGTCGTAAGACGTAGCCGCTGCGGTACGCCTGCACCGAGCGGCTGGAACACACGAAAGAAATCTAAACTATTTTTGAAGCTAAAAAATTACTTCATGTCCCAAAAAAGGATTAGTTTATTGTATGAGAATGACACCAGTTAAAAAACCAGTAGATAGCTACTACTTGCCAAGTACCAGTCAAAATAACGGGAGCACCTTTAAACACAACCACCTCACACGACACCTGCAGAAGAAATATAAGAAGAAAAGAAATAGGTTATACTGAGTCGACCTTAAAAGATAGACATATGCTGTCGCGGACTTTTCTTTAGAACTTTTAGAGGGAAACAATTTCTTCACACATGATTTTTACGTAACTTTAACCGTTTAAGCAGCGTTAGCAACGAAACTGTCAAAGGAGGAATAATTTTCCCGTTTTTCCGAATTTTTCGTTGCTACTTCGCTCCCCTATTGATCGTAGCGTGATGTTATATAGCCTATATGTAGATACGATAAAACACAAAAAGATTTTTTGAATTCCAACCAGTGGTTTCTGAGATTAGCGCGTTCAATTAAACAAACACTTCAGCTTTATAATATAAGTATAGAAGTATAGATTGCTCCGAAGATGCTTCCTGCATGGATCGGTTTACTTCATCTCTAGTGGGCGTGCGTTAGTAACCAACACATTATGTATATAAAATAGTTCCTACTGTGGAAAAACGTGAAATATCCAGATTTTTGTAACCCTAAATTCACTATATCCAACACGTATTGTAAGCTATAAACCGTTCATCTTATGGCGAGCGAGAACCCACTGACACTTTTTCAAATTATGTGTTTACAAAAGATCTACAACGACTAATTTGACAATACAACGAAAAAAATTAATCCTGTACAACAGACAACCTTTTGACTGATTCGCAAAAACATTTGAAATTTAAGTGGGAGCAAACTACCTTGTACAAAATGCTCAAGTCGATGGGTTACAAACATAGGCAGGTAAACGGTCGCAAAATTTTATGTGAACAAAAACATATTATTGCAGCAAAAATTACTTGAGAAAATCCCTCCAGTTTCAAAATTCTTGTGCGCTTTTAACATCCATTTACCTCGACGGAACCTCGATACACCAAACTAGTTCAGTATCACTTCGTTGTTGGTGCACGAAACAAATTTAAAAAGTAATCCCATCAAAATTAAAAGTGGGGGATCAAGATTTACAATTCTATAAACAGGAACTCAATTTTGAGATGGTTGTAACTTTTTATTAAATTCGGAAAACATTGATAGAAACTATCACAAAACAAAGGACGGGACACTTTTTCAAAACTGAATGGTCAATCAACTTATTGCTGCTTTGGCTAAGTTGAACAAAAAATGTGTGGTCGTTATGGACAACACACCATATCATTCAGTACAGTTGGACAAGCCCCCAACATTTTCGTGACTGCTTAATCATAGTAAACAATTTGAACAAAAATTTTCTAAAAATAATTATTAAACATTTTAGAACTGATACACCAAAGCTTAGATGAGACGCTGAGAGAGAGTGGTTATGAAATTCTTAGACTACCAATCAATCAATCGAAATTGTACCTTCCTATTTAAAAAAAATCATTGATGACGTCATAACTTTTACAAATTTGTCAAAGGATGGAGAGTAAAATAAAAAACTTGACATGTTATTGCATTTTTTTTTTTAACAAACAAATGCAATAACACATATTTTGTGCATTACTTTATCATAACCCTGTATAATAATATTTTATACTCACTTCATTTCATAAAAAATAGTAAAGTCACTTTTATTACGTTCTGTAATCATGATTTGCAAATCAAGTTCTTGTTTATGCACCACTGATTTTCCTACGATGAAGTTCTACTTAAAGAAGAGATCGAAATCCTTAACTATATTACAGCCTATTGTTTCTAATTAGATATCTTTAAAGAACGAGTTAAGACACAAAAGCTTATCTTGTCTGTTAAAAGATAACATATAACAAATTACACAGAGATCTCTGCCCTTTTGTGCTTTGCAGAAAATAGGAAACATGACTTCACTTCACTTATCGATCACTCATCATGTCCACACCGAAAAATACAATGCTCGCTGCTGAGTCAATAGTATGATTTATGACAATAAAGCAATGAAGTTATACCACCGAACCGAGCGGTATTTATTTATGATTTTAGGTGTAAATTACGATTATTGATAGTGTAGCCCCTGAAATTTCATCATCTAATAGGTGGCATACGTCAGATAACCGAAGCACCCATAAAACGAGTATTCTTGATAACATTGTTTTATTTCATTTAAATACATTTTTTTTAAATTATAGTTATGTACTTCTTAGAGTACGACTGTTATGATTTATCATAAATCAATTAAGATGTCATCTTCATCTTACTTTCGATTTTTCCTTGTTGTCAAAAAAAAACTTCGGTGAACGTCAGTTTTACAATAAATCGACGGCCACGATCGATAGGAAAGACAGTATACCTGTTTCCACTCCTATAAGCAACATCTGTACATGATATGCATCTTTTAGTTCTTCAGGTTTAACCAAACTAAAAAAAAAAATCAGTTGATATTGTCTGGCTATCTACATGTATGCATAATACCTTGCAGTGATGTATGTAGACCGACTGAGTATATACCCACCAGAAATAGCCCCCGATATCACAACCAGAATGTATTGATAATCATGAGGTAACACTACCGGCAAATGATGTCGGGGTTGAGCATTACACAACATGAACAGTGGAAATATTACCACCATTCTAACAAAAGCGATTAGTACCCATACGATCCCAGGCAAATTCTTAAATACATAATAACAAAGAATTCATTCATTGACTTCATTTAATCAAAATCGCTTGACTAAACCCAAAATAATTGCAACAAATTTTTACGCACAAAAACTTACCTTAGGAGCAAATCTAAAACCTAGAATCTGTCCAAGTAACTCACAAACAGCATAAAGCAGAAAAGTTATTACCGGCACAAAATATTTATCTGAAACCAGATTTTTTTCATATCTTAATACATCTTTTAAACACCTTACCATTCCAAACACCATTTTGCTCTCCTTCCGAAACCACCAAAGTAGTAGGTGACATGCTGGACGTAATCACAAACAGACCCATCATGGCAATAGGAGACCACACCTTTTTAAACAGGCGAATTCCTTCTTGGAAACTCATGTGCTTTTCTTCTTGGTTTTTTGTATAATTTTGCATGTAGTACAGATAAAACTGATTGCGACCTGTTGTGATTACGACCAGTATTAAGGTGAAACCTATTAGAACAACACCCAAAATGAAGTATACCAAAGCGTTGTCTTGGACTGAGAAACCTGTTGCTAATGAGAGAATCTGAAGAAGTGCTGTGAAGATGGTGGATATTCCAGTCCCAGCAAGGTACGGAGCTAAATAATGATGAGGGAAATTGGATATTGCTGTGTACAGGGTGATGGTGAAGACTGAATTCATGGCTAAAATATAATATTAGTAGCAAGTTAGTTAAGATTTTATAAGAACGACATACAGTTGATACCAAACGTGAGTATCATCACCATTGCAAAAAATCCTTCTTGCCCTAAAAGTTGTATCGTAACAGTCGTGAGCTAATTTCAGTTACTTACAAGAATCAGTGTCAATCTTCACGAATGCGGTTAGAGTAACAAAAAGGATTAGGACAATGGACAGGATTCCAATAAATCTGACTCGAACAGAAATAAATCTGCCATAAAGTAATCCAATAATCAGAAATGCCACTTGTGAAACTTGAAGTGTTATCATGATCGACGCGTTAAACTCGGCTTGCAAAGTTGTTCTAAATTTAGAATGAGTGTCATTGGTGGTCGTATTTCTAAATTTGTACATCCAGTACTGAAAATAGAAAATCGCATTATACATTATGTGAGTTGAAGTACTTACTCCATTGGCAGTATTGAAGAAACTCCATGGCAAAAGGTGAACCAAACCCATAAAGAAAAAAACAATGTAAACAACGTAAAATTTGTCTTCGGGGGCGTCCGCCTCTTGGATTTTTTCGGGATGACTGCTGGAGATTAAGCTCACTTGTGATTTCGCTTTCATTTCGTTAGCCATGTTTTCGGGATTGCTTTCTCTCGAATACTGTATGAACGACCACTATCAGATGCTATTGATAACGGTAAGTGTTATTGAGATTGAAGTGGCTGATATCTGATAACCAGGCTTAGTCATAGGGCTTAGTCAGCGTGGAAGCACAGACTACCAGACAAGACACATACCCACTTTGAGCGAACGTGACCCTTATTGACGACTTACCTCAACCGTCACTTCATACGCGCAATTTTTAAACGCGAGGACTGCCACTTTACAACACAATCTCGGATAAAAGCCAACATAATGTTAAAAAAATACATCAACAGAACTCATATTATGTTTAACTTACTAAAATAATAAAGGCGTTCGTACGTACGAGTACGTTCATAGTCAGAAAAAAACATGAACAAGCTAAAAAATTTATGAGTGCTATTAATTAAATTTATACATTTTTTAAAAGTGAGTGAATGATTATATTGTATTGTATTGTGTATTCTGTTGCCGCAGGACTCACAGGAGTGCGTTGCACTTCACACGTTTTGGTCGGACCCATTTTGAGGTTATATGTGGTTATGTGTCAACCCAAAGCAAGGAGGTTTAAATGTATATATGTACTTATATTCAATATCTCTGACCCGAAGTGTCAAAATTCTAGTTTTTCTAGTTACATTCTCCTAAAAGTTTCCACTAAACAGGATAGCCACTACAGTATTTTGCAAATTTTTAAGCGGAATCAAGGTCATCCTTACCTAAACCGTCATTTTCCTGTGTTGAAGGGCAAAATAATTGGAATCGACTGTTTGGACTCTTGAATTAAAGACTATATTCGTTTGTCAGTGGTGGGGCAGTGGCTTGTCTGTGGTGGAAGTGTTAACAACTGCTGAGGAATGCGCCAGACAAATAAGTACGCCGGCGCGACACCAGGCGATAAATTTGGCTGGCCGACTGTGCAGTATCAACCACGTCACAACCTCAGTGGCGTTTGATGCAAATCAGGGTTTATCTAAATGTAAGATAGGTGTTCCGGTTCGAAGTTTGTTAATATTTTGTTTTGATTTTGTTTGTTTTCCCGCGGATTGCTGACAAGTGTATTTTGGCCACTTTCCACTAGAGGCGCCATAGTACCGAGCAAAAGGGCCCGGTACGTGGGGTTGGCGCTGTTATCGTAAAGATTTATCGAGAAACCCTCAGAGAGGTAACATCACAGTATACATACAGTACAGACAGCTCGTCAAATATTGGAACAACGTGTCCTTACCCAACCGTTTTGATTAGGCGGGATTTTTGAAACGAAGTGGAATATTGGTTGCCTAAATTACAAATACAGCTCGTCAGTACAACAATGTAAAAGGAACCGATATAAACATCAAATGAGCTGAAACCAATTTTTGGAGTGTGATATGAAGACTACGAAAAAAATACCATTTCGAACAATAAAAAAGAATTGTGCTTATATTTATTTTATTCATTAATAAAAGTCTATCACTTTACCAAGTTAATTTCAACATAAACATATCAACTACCTATTTTGTCGATGCCTTCAATTTTCGCCAAGTGTGAACCGTTTGAAGAGTCAGAAAGAGAACGTTGTTGTTTTCATCTTCCCTGGAAAAAGTACTGTGGTAAGCGCCAGTATATTTTAATTATACCGAGCGGCCAATCATTTAATAGTGCAATTATTGGATCTCATTTTGAGAAAAATACATATGTTGCACGTTACTTGAAATTTTAAGCAAACACACATGTGTTTCGTAGATCTGGAAAATATCTGTCATGGGTCACTTTAAGAAATTTTGTATGCATGTTAGCGTAGGACCAGATTATTTCTTTCTCAGAATTTCGGTTGCACATGGCGCCACAAAAAATATCATGGATTTCTAGAAATTGTAAAAGCTACAAAATCCACTTAATAAGTATTGCGTCGTGTTAAAGATTAGGGGTGTGTCCAATCGCCCAGATACATATTGGTTCCAGCGCAGTGTTTAAAATATTCCTTGGCAGCGACTATTAAATTAGTTTCAATTGTTAAATTTAGTCAAATAACCTTAATTGCAAGTCAAAGTGCGATAACAATATGAATAATTGATCTTGTGATATTTTCTCTTGTTTTTTAAAATTAAATGAAGGTTCAATTTTTAAATCTCCAAGTTTCAGTACACTGCATATCTATACTTCTATACTTATATAATAAAGCTGAAGCTTTTGTTTATTTGAACACGTTTATCTCAGAAACTACTGGTTCAAATTCAAAAAATCTTTTTGTGTTGGATAGTCCATGTATCATATCTACATATAGGCTATACAATATCACGGTACGATCATTAGGAGTGAAGTAGCAATGAAAAATTCGGAAAAACGGGAAAATTATTCCTCCTTTGACAGCTTCCGTTGCTTACGCTGCTTAAACGGTTAAAGTTACGTAAAAATCATGTATGACGAAATTGTTCCCCTCTAAAAGTTCTAAAGAAAAGTCCGAGACAGCATATGTCTATCTATTAAGGTCGAGTCAGTATAACCTTTTTTATGGTAATGAAATTTGTTCTAAAATAATAATGCATTATGTATAAAATTCTCGCGTCACAGCGTTTGGAACCGAACTTCTCCGAAATGGGTTGACCGATTTGTATGAAATTTTTTATGTATATTCGGTAGGTCTGAGAATAGGTTGTAAACTATTTCTTAAATCCCTAAGTGATAAGGGTGGCCCACCCTAAAAAATTTTTGTCTATTTTTTGGACAAAATTTTTTATTTTTATTTTTTTAAGAATTGGCATCAAAAAATACACATAACCCTAAATTTTCACCTTTCTACCACCAACCCCCATTTTTTAATCATCTATATAATAAAAATCAATTGCTGTTCCTGTTAGTCTCGCTAAGACTCAAAAACGGCTTGACCGATTTGAAGAATTTTTTATATTACGGGGATGGTTTATAAATAAAAAAAATAAGGAAAACTTAAAAGAACAGTTAAAAAATAAAAAAATTCTAAAAATTTTGCATGGGAATCGCCACTTCAAATTAATTTCAATAGTTGGCGTTTCTGTCGTCTAACTGACGTGTCATACAAAACTAATTCTTCCGTGCAATTGTGAAAAGTATATTGCATTTCAAATCGTTCTTTGTTTTTTCGTTAAAAAATCGTCGTTTATTTTAAGAAGAATCTTGGTTAAAGTGAATTTAATTACACATTGCGAAAGTTTCTTATTAATTTTGATCTGCCATTCTATTTACCTATATTCACTTTGTTGGTTCCGATAAAACCTCAAACTTTACCGTTATTCGAGGATTTAATTTGAAGTTTTCAATATTTTAAAATTCTCAAGACAAAATTTACAGATCTGATTGACTGTGAAAATAATTATGTGTCGTTTTATGAAGTTTATTAAAATGCCGAGAAGACGACAACCTCACATAGGTCCACGAACTACCTCAGGTGCAAACTGCAATGATTTATTTCATGGGTAATTCGGATATGGAAGTTGATCAGCGTTGTGCTCATAATCAACATAATCCAAACATTGAAGCGAGACATTGGATGGTATGAATAAAACTGAGTATAAATTAATATTCGAAGTACGAAGTACCTACTTCATTATTACTCTTATATACCTGAGCATCTACTCTATGTACTGAGTACCTACTTCGAAACATTGTATCTCCCCGGACACAAATTGAACATCTACGCGTTTTGTGAGTATTTAATCTAAAAATGAGCATCGGCGTGGCAAATAACTGAGCTGTCTGTAAAGCAGCTTAGAAAACGAGTAAGATCGTTGTAAGAGTGAATTTTAACTAAACATGGCGACTTTCATGAACGTGGAACGTCGTCAAAAGGTGCATTCAGTTTGAAAAACAAATTAGGAGCAGGAATATCGAAAACTTTTCATGTAATTAACTTTTATTTATGCATAAATTGTGCAGTGCGTTTTTTCTAACACTGGCCATAGAGATTCCTATCTCAAGGTGTCTACCCCATACTAACTTATATTTTGGTGACTCGATTTTTGCTTTGATGGTTGAACACTGTCACTGTTTTCCTTTTTTGTTGTATCGAGATGCTACTTGAGCATCAACTGTTACCTACTGAAGTATTAATATCATCTCGAAAAACTAGAAATATTTTGATTTGATATTCGAGTAGATACTTCGTATTTCGAGTATGAGCATCTACTGAGTTTTATTTATATCAACCATTGTCAAAAAATTGATCGAACGTTGTTTCGACAGAACTTCCTTCGCACGAAAAGTATAATGAAACATATTCAGCATTTTCGAGTTGAGTCTTTTCTTCACACAATTTTGTGATGACCGAATCAACATTTACGATCAACACGTATACCACCTTGGATTGGTGCAGTGTAATACTAAAAATAACTGTATTGTATTCCCAAAATTATTGCGAAAATCGAGTGAGCCATTCTATCAATTTTTTGGGGGCAATAAATAAATATTGTTAACAATTTACCATGCTTACAATAACTTTAAAACGTCTGCAAGATCTCAAACTATTCATTTTTGCAACTCTTGAGTTATTCACTAAAATAAATTGACTGATCCATATATTTTTTTGAGTCACTGTAAAAGCAAATCTAAAAAATATGAATGCAATGATAAATTACGAAAATATACTGATGATATTTTCCACATTTTAGATAGGATTTATTCGGCAAAATATTGAGTTGACGTCTTCAAGTTTTTGGGCTTGATAAACAGATATATTTTGATTGAAAACCTACCATGTCAAACAGTAACTTCAAAACCTCTGCAATATTTCAAAATTCAGTTTTGCAATTCTTGATTCAATCAATAAAATAAATTGACTCAGTGATTAATTTTTTTGAGACACCCCCTATAAGCAAAACTAAAAAATATGAATGGAATGATAAATCATAAGTATAGTCTCATCCTATTTTAGACATTTTAGATAGGATTCATTTGGAAAAATTTTGGGCTGACGTCATCAATTTTTTGCAGGGGATAAGTAAATATATTTTGAATAAAAATTTATTATGCTTATCATATGTTTAAAATATCTGCAACATTTCAAAGCATTCGATTTTGCAGATTCAAAATTAAATTGTAGGTGAAACGAAGTTCACGGGGTCAGCTAGTTATTAATAAACACATCCAGTTAGAATTAAATAAATTTTGTTAACTTGAAATCAACTGTAACAATTTTCTAGCCATTTATTAGTGAGTTTGCAACAATTGACCACTTTGGCATGGTCGACTGTAATGCACATATGCGCGATAATAGAGCGTAATCAAAGTCGACAGGTTCCCAGCGTCAGCATCCACTTGATCCCAATAAGGGTGCAGATGGCCCTGCATTCCGCGAAATGTGAAAAAGTATCAGATGACAGTGCAGGTTCAGTCAATTAGCTAAACATGAAGTAACTGAAATATTTAGGAAACAATTAAATAAACACAAAAACAAAAATCTGTTGAAAGGAATAATTTGTTTCTGATTTGTTTAGAAGATCTAAATTCAATAATTTAGTTCAACCCTTTGCGTGAGGCGACAATCAAGGGGCAGAATTTAGTTAGCTATTTGTTTTATTTTTTTATTATTTTATTCCATTAATTTTAATGTCATGTAGGTATGAGGTTTAGAATGGTTCAAACTTAATAATAGCATTATTTTGAATGGAAAATAGAATATCTTTTTCTGTTGTTCAAGAATAGAGTCAACCCTTTTAGATAGAGACAGGTATAAAATTGTAGGCGAGAGGTGTAAACGATTGTCGCCCAGCAATAAGATAGCTTAACAATTTAGTTGGGTGTGAGGAAATAGGAAAAATCATCGATTTTCTTTGCGTAGTTCGATTTTTGACAAGGGGCGACCTCT